TTTATTTTTTATAAGTCCCCAACCAATCTTCATTAAAGAAGCCTAATTTTGAGATTACATTTTTTGGATCCGCAGGCCCCTATTCCTTTTGTTAGTACAAACTCCATCTCAAGCCATAGCATGAATTCTCTTTTTCTCTTCAATAGAGCCCCAAAGGAAGTTACGAGTAATCTTCTCGGCATCCTTACAAATAGAAATAGGCAACATCGCAGTCTGCATAAGTTACATCGAGATAGCAGAGAGAATTGAACCTAACATCTATTAACCAATGAGAGTCAATTTTTTTTTTGAAAAATGGGATTGCTCTTAAATCAATGCTCTCATGAAACTAAAATAAAAATATGTGAAAAATAAAAAATTAAATTAAATTTTATTAAATACTTCCATAAAAGTAGACTGAAAATACATAAAAAAGTTAATTAAATATCATTAATGAATCAAGAGAAACTTTCATATTAATATTAATCTAAAATCTATTAACCAATGAGAGTTAATTCTTTTTGCCAATTATATTGAAGCTACAAGATATATATATATATATATATTGATATATATATTGATATATTGATTGATGATGATTGGTGATAATATTGATGATAAAATAAGATGCCTTGAAAAGGAAAACCAAAATATATAGGGAAACACAACAGACACGGATCATGAATAGGAAAATGAAGTTAGTTAATGCTCATGTCTAAGTTGTGAATTACAGTTCAAAATTTAAAATTAAAAATAGGAGAGGTCACAGTTGATTGAACTAATAGGAGAAGATAACTAAATTTTAATCAAGATAAAATGACCAATGACAAGGTTCAAAATTTGATCAATAGAATGTCTTTTTATAAGATTTGTCAATATATATTGATGAATAATGAAAATATTGTTTGAAGAATAATAACTAATAGCTCATAATATTCAAAAATTAAATAAAGATAATAAAGATTAAAAAAGGATTTTGGCCCCAAAAAAAAGGTTAAAAAAGGAAAAATAATGTTTTGGTCCCCATAGTTCACGTAGATTTTGAAGTAGGTCCCTTTCTTTATAATTTATTTGGAATCCGTCTCTACACTATGCATAAATTGCCAAGTTAATTCCTAACATTTTCAACTCGCAGCAAAACCATCCCTGCGATGCTGACTCAGGGAAATGAGTTTTAGAAAACTTTCCAAGTGGCAAACAAATATGGGATGTGGCATTGAGATATCATAAATATTATCTATGAGTTGTCACAACTTGACAACCCTACAATTTCTCTTTTGCAATAGCATTCTTTTTTTTTATTTTCTTTTTTAATAAAATTATTTTCTTTCTTCCTTTTCTTTTTCCTCCTGAGAATGTTCGTTTTCTGCAATGATTTTTTTTTTCTTTAAGAAAAGATAGAAAAGGAAATTAAGGTTATATTTAATTTTAAGCTGTCATGATTAATTTTTTTACCTTATTTTATCATTTATAAAACAATTTATAGAATCTAGACGGTAATTAATATATTTTTATATTGGTAAAAAAATTAATATATTTTGAAAGAATTATATTGAAGTCTTACACAGAAAAATTAATTATTACATAATCCATTAACAACTAAACTAACTACTATTAAAAAATTAATTACTCTAAAGTTCATTAACAATTTATTTTAATGAGTTTAGTACAGTTGTCAATAAACATTATAGCATTTAATTTTTATGTGTGGGACTTGCTTGTAATTCTCTTATATTTTTCTATAAAAACATGAAAAAATCATAATAAAGTCCCATGTCAAATGTATAAATGGTTGTGAGGTTGTTAGCAACTTAATTGTAAATAAAATTTTGAATGAATTGATTAAAATATCCATAATTTACAAAATAAAAAACCACTTAGAAACTCCTTTTCTCTTTTCCTGCCTCTTTTTTTTCCGAATCTTCCTCCTCCTTCTCCTCCTCTTCTGTCAGAAGTAGAGGTGCCTACTTTAATTTGTTTTGACACTTAAAGCATGAAGCAGGCAAGGGATTCACGAGAAAGGTACAATGGTTAATGCTATTTAGTTATATTTGACGGGATATTTAGGTGGACTAGTGTAAGCATGTATTTGATAAGGATGTACCTCAGGAACAAGTCCTAGCAAATTTCATCTTTTTTAGAGATTGCTCGGATTCAAATCTTATTAGGCTAGCCCCTTCTTTGTCCTTTGAGGCCAAACGCTCATGGGTAATTTTCTCAGATAGAAATAATGACTATAAATTGAAAGTGGATGGTTTTATTATCATGAATGTGGTAGCGATCATGGAGGATATATTAGCAATGCTCATGATAATTGGATTAAGGGGTTCAATGTGAAACTTATCAATGTACTAACTGTAGTTGCGGAGCTCCTTGCAATTATCAATAGGTTGAATCTTTGCTAGGCTGAAGGCATACATTTTGTGGATATTTTTTGTGACTGTATTGAGGCTATTTTATTTGTGACCAAAGGATGTGAGGATTCTTACCCTTTTAAAGATATTGTTGATGATGCCTGTCTATTATATCATAGGAATTAGTGTGTATCTATCCACAATATTAATAGAGAATCCAACATCTATGCTGACTTTTTAGCAAAATTGTCTCGTAGTTACTATATCAATAGAGAATCCAATACCTATGCTGACCTTTTAGCAAAATTGTCTCATAGTTTATATGTTAATTTTTGCATCTTTGATCACGGAGGTAGCTGATGAGAGAATCCTACTAGGTGCTACTTCTTTGATGTAATCTCTCTCTTTTAGATATGTTTGCTCTTTTCAACCAAAAAAAATTGTTTTGACTATTATGTGATTGGATTTCTTGAAGCTATGTCAAAAAGACAAAGTGATGGAAGAAGGCCTCTTGGCTAGTTAGAAAATTTCTAGCTTCTCTTTATTCTTCTGAGAGAATAGCAGGGTAAAAGTCCCATTTGAACTTTTCTCTTTCTCTTCCATGTTCTTATCTCTCATGTTTTCTCTTGCAATCATTCTCTGCTTTTGTTGGTGTCAAAAGTGTTGGATATTATAAAATAATTATTAGTATTTGAAAAAGAATTATTATACATTAATTTTATTAAATACTATTTAAATAAATTTATGTTGTAACATATATATTAAACCACATTATTATATGAAACTATTTTTTAATTATGTTAAATGTGTTTTATTGCCTAATCTTTGAGATGTTTGCTTATAGAAGGCAATGCTTGCCACATGTGTTGTGGGGAGCCTCTATGATGGGCTTTCTCTCCTCCTCTATTCCATTACTTCATCAACGTTGATATTGCCTAAGTTGTTTTAAAAATTTTCATTGTTCTATGTCCTTGCTCATTTTACAGGAAGAGTTTATTTAATATTGGGGAGCTGCCATGTGATCAACCCAGTATGATAGAATAACTCTTAAGAGTAGTATTTTCAGGCATGACTTAGACCATGAGTTTACCAGCTTTTGCCAACAAGAAGTTGTGGTTTTCTTGAGTTCTAACGTTTCACCCTTGATGCTTATTGGTTCACCTTTAGTTTTTTCACTTGTTCATTGATCCGAGCTTATGTTTTAGGTTGCTCTCTTGCTTCTGAATTTTCTTGAGAATTTCATATTTGCTTCCCAAGCTTGCAAACGTGGCTTCATTTTCCTTCTTTGGTTCTCACCTTCCCTTCCCCTGTTCTGCCTTAAATTTCTTCTCTCTCGCTCATGCATTTGCGTTTTTAATACCATGGCATGTTCCCAGTTGCTATTCTCTTCTTCTTTGTGGCCTCTCTTGACTCAAGATTTTTGTCTGACCATTGACCCTGAACCTTTTATCTTTCAATATAATCAACCTTTTTAGGAAAAATGTGTGCTCGCTATTTGTCTTGACTCTAAAGTTTTCTAGGAAGAGGAAATAAGTGCTATCCTAAATGATGTATGGTGGCTCGGAGGTTCTTTCTAAATCATGTGGCGCAGAGAAAACATCTTCTTTATCAACTTCACTGATGACGATGACATGCATTTTGTTCATTGTCACGGTCCTTGGGCAAATGACAACTCTCTGCTCATCATCAAACCATAGACTCCTAATTTGATCATGCACAAGTTCAAACTAGACCGATGTCCAGTATGGGTAAAGCTTAGAGCCATTAGTCTTTTCTCCTCTATGAGAAATTAAATACTTGCTTTGGTTCTTTTTATAAGGCTATATTAACTACTTTACTAAAATTAAGAAAAGTAGATAGAATTAGTTCAATGCCCTAAAAAAATAAATTTTCAAAATTATCCTTTGATCAATAGAATCCGTTATATGGAGAGAGAAAGGGATGGAAAGAAAGAGATGATTGCATTTTTTTCAAGCCACAAGTGTTTAATTAAATTTTGTCAGAGGTCTTGTTTTAAAGAGTAATGAATATTTTTATAAGCAGGATTGGAGAAAGTCTTCGATGCCTAATTGGCTTCCCCCTTGCTCGATTATTGTTGTTGTTTTTAACAGTAGTTTTTTGCAACCCAATGGCATCAAACATGGCAGATTTATGTGAGAAGCCTTCCACATTAATTAACACCTCCTCAACTACATGGATTTGGGGACTCTTCACTTCTTTTCCTTTCATTTCCCCAATCTCTACAATTCAAACAATTTTTTTAAATGATAAAATTAATGAATGATAGAAATGGGGGAAATGGAAGGGAAAAAGTGGAGAGACTCCTCTCCCCAACTATGTCTTTGCTTCTACAACTCAATGATTATTTTTTGCTATTTTTTCTTATCATATACAATGTTTATCCTATTATATTGTGTATTTTTAAATTATAATTTTTATTCAAAATATAAAAAAAGATTCATCATTTCCTGATTTGGTCTTTTTTTTTTGTGTGCAAAAATGTCGAGTTTGTGATGGCCCTTTAGGTTTCATGGATAAACGTACCATCTATAAACGGCCCAGTGTTACACGAATGACAGACAGCCCGACCCATGAGGCCCTAAATTTTGCCTCTCAATCCAGAATCAAAATAAAGCGACCTGCTTCTTCGTCTTCGCATTTCGCGCATCTGATCTGGTGAGAGGAGAGTGAACTTCCGCTAGTGCTTTGCTTCTTGCTTTTCATATTTAATCTGTTCTGGGTCTAAAATTGTTCTTTATAGTATTTTCTAGACTTCTAGTCGTTGATGCAAGAGTCTCTTCCGTCTCTGATTCTGAATTCATGGAGAAAGTTTCTGGGCCTGCTGGCCATGCATCAGCCTCTGCTGGAATAGGATCCAGGTACTTTGATTTGAAGAAGTCCTTCAAGTTTGCTTTGCGTTCTTTGCTCACTGCCTGCCCAAAGGAGGTGTGTAATCCTGCTTTTTTTACTCCCTCTTTTTTTTTTTTTAATACGTCCATACTTCTATTCGATTCTCCACTTTCTATGAGAAATTGGAACTGTTGTTTTTAGCATTCCTTTTGTTGCCACTAAAATTTACTGTGCAAATGTCTATTTTGAAGTTATTAAGAATATCGAATGGTCCCAATTGAAATGCAAACTACTTCGAATCTTTGCTTATTTTCTTAAAGAATAAAACGTGCACGAAACACCTTATTTTGGGCTTAGTCCGGCCCATACTGATGCTCTGTATGATTGTTGATAGTTGCGTGCACCGTCACCGTCACTCATATTTACACCTGATGTTCCAGTCTTGTAACTAACATATGGAGAAGTTGATGATGTGTCGAAGGTACTAGATGATATTGCGAACTGGAAGCTAGCCAAACAAAAATTGAAATCTTTTTTCTTAGTTACATAGTAGTTGAAAATTTGAACCATAAATGCCTGATACAGCTCGTTGGCAAGTCATGTGCAAGGCTTAAACCATGATTTCTGGAGTTATGTCCACTCATATTTACAATAAAGATGATGTTTTGGCAAATTATAATGTCATCGAATTGACTTAATCACTCTGCTTTTCTTTTCTTTTTCCTGTGCCTGTGGTATCACCCTAGTTTACTGTTTTATAATAGAAATCTAGGCCAGCATGGCCCATCTAAGGTTGTAACTAGGTTAGATTGTCATATGCTTTTGGAAGATCACACACCTGACACCCCAATATTTTATGGTTTAAATGCTCAACTACAGTCTTCTACTACCGTTGATACTTTGCATTATGTTCAGACTTCAGAGGAAGTGGCGTGAGTTCGTGGCTTGTTACAACATTCTCACCCCCTCCGTTGCATAATTCATCAAGAATCAAAATGGTTATACACTGATACTATGAATTTACGCTGCTGTCTTTATTTATAGGAATTTGACAAAGCTTTTCTGAGATTCACAACTGCTGAAAAAGAATGGCTGCATCGCCTCTATCTTCAGGTATAATCTCTGGATATTAATATAGTTCACAGAAATATATCTCAGAATTGTGTTGGCATTTTTAATTGACTGCATTGTTGTTTCTTCAGTTTCTCATTCATCTATTTTGAATATGGGCCGTCATTGTGCAGGATTTGAATTAGTGCCATAGATATATACTCAGATAAAAATGTACATTGACTTCCTATCTCTGAGCAAATCTTTGAAAGTTCAAGGTGCCACATTGTTGATAGGAAATAACCTGTTTATATTTGTCATCCACTTAATATTAAATAAATAGCTAAGGATATATTTTTTTATCAGCAGGAAATTATATGGGGAAATTTTGTTCACGTGAGGCAGACATATTTTGTAATATGAAATTTAAGGTGTTGGAAGATATTCATTTTTAATATTTTTATTTTAACTTACGAAGAAAACTATATTTCTGGTTCTTCATTTGTTATGCAAATACCCTTAAATTCCCCTTTCCATATCTTAAAAAAAAAAATGATATGTTTGGAGATGATAATCCTTTCATGTCTTCAAACATTTCAGGTCATCACTTCATTGCATGAAAATATAGAGGTATGTAGTGTTTGTTATGACTTCTGACTGTGGTCTTGGTTGGTCAATACCGTGCACAGTAATATTGAGTAGAATTTTGTGTTCCATGACACTGCTAACAAAATTGAATGCTGAAGATGCAGTGTTCATTTAGTTTGTTCCTAAAGGAACTATGGATCCTGTTTGGCCAAGGCAAATTTTTCAGATGCAGCGGAAGGCGTTTGAAATCAAACTTCTTTTGATAGTGTTCTCTCTTAAGTTTAAAGACTGTAAAACATCTCTGAAATTAACAACAACAATTCATTTTGGAAATTGTACTGTACAGTTGTATGATTTAATTTTTTTTTAAATACTGAAATAATGACATTGGCTCTTATTTGAGGCATGTTATTTATTTATTTTTGTTGCTGTTAACAGAGAAATTTATTATGGAACAGCTCCTGTTAGTGTAATTATATACACAATGAATTACTCATGATACTAGCCCACAACCTGACATTTGAAAGCCCGCTGTTATAAAATCAATTTATTAGCAACATTGTACTGCAGTTGCTGATAAAATAAATGTTAAAATTTTTAAGAACGCCATCTGTATAGTGTGCAGCGTGAAAAACAAGTTGAGTGGCTTTTCCAAGAATTTTAGCCATTTATGACTGTTTATTTGTCATTTTTATCTGACAAAGATGAAATCTGAATGCTATGTCAAATCAATTTGTACAGGCTGAGTATGAATCAATCTGTCATGAAACACAGGTATTACCTGGCTTTTGTATCTGTTGTACAAGTATTTTCTCTTCCTATCATTTATGTGCAATCTGTGTTGAAGTTTTGTAGCACTCACATAATAAAATAGGTTTTTCACATCAAAGCTATCATTCTTGGAAATTTTGTTGCATTTGCACATTCAAATAGTTTTATGAAAGTATAAGATGAAAATCTATGCCTTTAAATCAATACCATCAATATATCAATCGTCAATAAATCAATACAACAACAACAACAACAACAAGCCTTTATCCCACTCGGTAGGGTCGGCTACATGGATTGCAAGACGCCATTGTGCTCTATCATTTATCAAGCTTTTAGGAATATTATTAATTAAGAGATCGCGTTCAACAACTTCCAAGAGTGTTCTCTTAGGCCTTCCTCTACCTTTCTTAATCGGATTCAAAGTTATATGTTCCACTCTTCTCACTAGTGCCTCCCTTGGTCTTCTTTGTACATGCCCAAACCATCTCAACCAATTTTCTACCATTTTTTCCTCAATAGGTGCCACCCTCACTTTTTCGCGTACGTGCTCATTTCGAATTTTATCTTTACGTGTATGTCCACACATCCATCGTAACATTCTCATTTCTGCTACTCCAACTTTATGCTCTTGCTGTCCCGTTAGAGCCCAGCATTCACTACTATATAACATTGCCGGTTTGATAGCAGTGCGATGAAATTTTCCTTTAAGTTTATTAGGCACCTTACGGTCGCAAATAACTTCTTTAGCTTTTTTCCAATTAAACCACCCAGCTTGAATTCTATGTGAAATATCTCCACTGATTTCGCCATCATTTTGAATAATGGCTCCCAAATATCTAAACTTTTCCACTTGAGGTATAATTTGATCTCCCAATTTCACTTTCAAATTATTGTCAAATATTCCTTTACCAAATTTACAATATAAATATTCCGTCTTACTTCTACTCAGACGAAACCCTTTCGACTCCAATATCCTCCTCCATAACTCAAGGTTGCAATTAACCTCTTCTCTTGTCTCTGCTATAAGAACTATATCATCCACAAAGAGCATACATTTCGGGATTTCCTCTTGAATATATTCCGTCAAAACATTTAAAATCAAGTTGAACAAATAAGGACTCAAAAATGATCCCTGATGTAGTCCAATCTTTATAGAAAAATCCTTTGTTTGACCACTAGGTGTTCTTATACTAGTTTTTACCCCCTCATACATATCTTGTATGGCTTTAATATAAGCAATTCGTACTCCCTTTTTTTCCAACGCTTTCCAAAGCACTTCTCTTGGTATACGGTCATAAGCTTTTTTCAAATCAATAAAAACCATGTGTAGATCTTTATCTTTACAATGATACTTTTCCATTAATCCCTTTAGTAGATAAATCGCCTCTATAGTTGATCTACCTGGCATAAAACCAAATTGATTCTCAGAAATACTTGTCTCCAATCTCAACCTGTGCTCAATTACTTTCTCCCATAATTTCATTGTGTGGCTCATGAGTTTAATCCCTCTATAGTTAGTACAATTCTGAATATCTCCTTTATTTTTATAAATAGGAATTAATGTACTTCTTCTCCACTCATCAGGTATTTTTTTGGACCGTAAAATCACATTAAATAACTTAGTTAACCATCTCACCCCTTTTTCACCTAAACATTTCCACGCTTCGATAGATATACAATCAGGTCCGTTGGCTCCACTATTTGCCATTTTCTTAAGAGCTTCCTTTACCTCCTTATCACGTATTATTCGATAAAATGACAAATTTTGTTCTCCTTCACCAGTTACTAAATCCTCCAAGTTACTAGATGAATCCTCTCCATCATTGAAAAGTTTAGAAAAATAAGTCTCCCATCTATTTTTAATTTCATCATCTGTAACTAAAATTCTTCCCTCTTCATCCTTAATACACCTTACCTGTTCTAGATCTCTTGATTTTCTTTCCCTACTCTTGGCAATCTTATAAATATTTTGCTCTCCTTCCTTCGTCTCAAGGTTCTTATAAAATTCTTCAAAAGCTTTAGATCGAGCTTCACCCACAGCTCTTTTAGTTTCCTTCTTAGCCATACGGTACCTCTCCCAATTTTCCTCATTGTTATACAAATGTATGGCTTTAAAACAGTTCTTCTTATACTTGATTTTGTCCTGTACACTATTATTCCACCACCAAGACTCCTTATCTCTCGGACCAGAACCTTTCGATTCTCCCAAAACTACTTTTGCAACCTCCCGTATCTTTTTAGCCATATCCTCCCATATGATGTTAGCACTTCCCTGGGATTCCCAAATTCCTTTATCCAAAAGATTTTGCTTGAAAATATCTTGCTTCTCACCTTTTAATTGCCACCACCTAATCCTTGGTGTTACTACTTGTCGACATTTTTGGATTTTACTCATAATACACACATCAAGGACTAGGACCCTATGTTGTGTCATTACAGCATCTCCGGGGATCACCTTACAATTTTTACAAAGTCTTCTATCTGTGTTCCTAACCAAAAGAAAATCAATCTGTGATCTTGAGGCTCCACTTTTGTAAGTGATGAGATGCTCATCTCTCTTCTTGAAATAAGTGTTGGCAATCTTAAAATCATACGCCAATGAGAAATCAAGAAGAGTTTGTCCTTCATTGTTTAGCTCTCCAAAATCAAAACCACCATGCACCCTCGCATACTGACCAGCTTCCCTCCCAACATGCCCATTAAAGTCTCCTCCAATAAAAATCTTTTCACTCTGTGGTATATGTCGAATCAACCCCTCCAGATCCTCCCAAAATAATTCCTTAAGACTGGCTTCTGTCCCGACTTGCGGCGCATAAGCGCTAACAATATTAACAGTCTCACGTTCAATTATCATTTTTAAGGAAATAATTCTGTCTCTAATTCTGCTAACTTCTACAACGTTCTTCTTCCACTCCTTATCTATAATGATGCCTACTCCATTGCGTGCACTTACTTTTCCTGTATACCAAAGTTTGAAACCTTGAATATCCTTAGCTTCGTCCCCATGCCATTTTGTTTCTTGTAAGCAAAGGATATTGATTTTTCTTTGAATCATAACCCCTACAACCTCTACAGATTTACAATTTAAGTCCCAACATTCCAAGTACCAAATCTAATTTTGCTCTTATGAACTAACTTCTTTAGCCGCGTGCGTCCAGAATGACGCGGTAGCCCTTGCTCATTTAACACTACATCCGGGCGCCGATGCAGCGGCTCTAACTCACTTATCACTGTACTCGAGCCATGCAGCGCGTTACTTACGAGTAACGACCTAGCATTAACATTATAACGTCTATTGTCCATGTTCATGATAGATTCAACAAAGTTTTACATTGGCTGTTGATGGCCTAACACAACCCTCCTCCTTTACCCGGTCTTGGGATCGGCTATAAACATAGGCGGAGTTCGTCAATAAATCAATATCAACATGAAATATAAAATTTATAGCTAGCTGCATTGCTCACAAGCTGTGAACAATGCAGTTCGTTCATTAAATTTCATGCAATGCATAAGAGGCCCCTGTTGTTTTATAGTAATTCCTGGTATATCTTGATGTGCGGAACACAGGTCAATTCATTGTTACAGAGTACTTTGGTTATTGTGGATGAAGTTGATATCAGTAGTGATGCTCATTTGTGATTGTTAGGCTCTGGACTGTTAAATCATAACACTCTCTCAGAATTACCGTTTGTATACAGGCATGCATGCTCCCATATTCAATCTTAGTCTGTCATGTTTCTCCCTTTTGTAGGTGGGGGCCACTCTTGATGCTGTAGAGGAAATGGTGGAAGAACAAGAGCTGGATCTTTTGTTCTCAAATAAGTAGGTATTATCTGATTTGATCAGCAATACATGTGTCCATAGTTGAATCAAGATTGATTAGATCATGTTAAGTGTTTTTTCTAAAGTATTTAATTATCATTGTTAATATAAGATTGTCCTGTTTGAATGAATCAATATACTTCTCATTCTAGGAAACAGTAAGTGTAGCTTGAGAGAAAAGTGATTCAGACAACACTGAGGTTCTGTGTAGCTATTCTCTCAGCCTTTGTTTTTACTTTTTACTGTGGGTCTTGTGGCAATAAGTTCCTGCTTGTATTATTGATTGCCATCCCAATCTGTTGATTATTTGAACTCAGTAGAGGAGCTTTGGCACAATTGCAGGAGTAATGTAATGGATGTAGCTGAGGATCTGTCTAACGCAAAGAAGGACGAAATCCAACAGTTGATGCGTATGATACAATTGGTTAGTGTGCTGTGTGGCATTAATGAATCCTCTATTATTTCATCAAACCGTATGCTCAAATTGAATTAAAAATGAGCAGTTTCATGACCATTGGTGATTGGTTGAACTGAATGTTTCTGATTTTTTTATGTCAAAAATTTCATGATTTTTTCTCAGTTTTTTTACCTTCCAACTTTCCTAAATGGATAAAATGCTCACTTTGGGGTTCTTTTTTATTTTGTGTGGATCACTTTCTTGTTTCCTTTTGACACTGTTTTTGCCTTCTCCCTCGTTTCCAAAAGAGGTCTTTTTTGTTTTTGTTTTTGTTTTTTTTTTGGGGGGGTGTTAAATTTGGAAGTGGGACAATCAAAATCTCTCCTTCCTGCTGGCTGCTGGATGCTTGAAATGAAAGTTTCAGTTCATTATTGAGGTGATACTCTTTAATAGCACTGTATCGTGAGTCCAATGCTTAGTTATGCTTTCCACAATAAAAGGTTTTAGTCTTGGCAGCCTCAACTTGGTGAGGTGTTATAAGGCAACCACGTATCAAAAGGCTCGCTTTATTCAAATCACCAAGTTAATAAAACACTATTATCGAAGCAGTGGTTTCTAGAGCTGAATGGAGTATATCTCGAACTTGGAACAAAGCGAACCAAGCTAGGTCACAAAAGTACAACTGGTCTTGAAGATTTTAGAACTGGCTTATGTCCTTGATTCTGGTTATGATGGCCACGGCAGACCCTTGAACGTGTCATTTACTTGTCTTTTGGCCTCATAATCCACTGCTCTAATCGCTGTTCTATTTGTCAGGGAGAGGAACATAATAGTAGGATTCGCACACAATTGCAGCTCCTTAGAGAAGGAAAGCAAGCGATGTCTGGTGCATCAGATGCTATTGAGAAGGTATGATTCGAGTTACATTGTTAGCCAAATAATTCCTCGAAATTTTATTTTCTATTAAGATTTTTTTTTTTGGCTGACATATGGTGGTTCTTTTTCATTTTTTGCATATATGCTTAATTGGCAGTTCAGGAGCAGGAATTTAACTTATGGGGCCAACTGACGTGAAGGGATCTGCGGTACATAACCTCTAAGTTTACATTCTGTTATATTGACTGAAGTTCTCTTGGGGTATCATTGCCCTACGCATTTAAGGCAGTAACCTAGTATGGCAAATCTTAGCGGAGAGATCCCTTGTGAATAGTATCATTATTAAGGCCCAGTGATATAACTGGTTTCTATTGTATTGAAAAGCAAAGATCTTAACATTGCCGAGTATTGCCCTGTGTAAACATCAACGCGTGTGACAGTGACATTGGGTCTTTGTGGTGCCATGGGTTGATGGGCTTTTTAATTAATTGTGCCGAAGCGTATGATACGATGGGTTTCTAGCTCATCATTTGAAATGCAATTTCATGATCTGCTTTATTGCTTGCTTATATATTGACCCTCAGGGAAATGTGTTGAGTCTGACGCATGCCGAATATTGCCAACTTTGGCTCAGCATTGTTGATCAATACCTCAATCTGCATGTCATTCATCTTTAACAGAGATTGATTTTCGGTAAACCATGGTAGAATTGGCTTGGTTTGGTATTTTACTTTTAGAGAGATATTCCCTCTTTATCCTCTTCTTACAATTTTCATATTATCTATAATTATTACTCAAGGTTTTCATCTTCTTATGACTTTGTTCAAAATAAGTTACTCTAGTTTTCGTGTTATATGGAATTGGTTTAGAAACAAAAGGAATTGTTATGTATGGCTATTAATATAGGGCTTTTGGTTTCTTCAATCATCACTAGAGTGAGCAGAGAGATGGCGCAAAACACAGCATTCTCATCCGGCGGTGATTACATTTCAGAATGAAGATTCAGGACCACCTCTTCCAACCACTTTTCCTTCTTTATCTTCCTCATTCTCTTGTCACCACGTTAGCTTTTACGCACCCATTGTTCATATGATAAGTATGTTCTCACACATGCTTCCCTTTGAAAAAATATCCAATCTGATGAGAGCCATTCATCTCCACGATTCATTATTATTACATTTCTTTAGAGAGCCAACTTTAGCCTTTAGTTTATGACGATTCATTGCACATCTTTCACCTTATCTTTCTCTTCTCTTTTGGGATACTGGAGGACAGGCACTTGAAGTCTCTCCTCGTTTCTTCCTCTCCACTTCCCCTCTAATTTCCATCTCAATTGTTAGCTTGAAATTTCAGTGGTTCATATTTAATTTTTTCTAAAATAGTTTTTTTCTAAACTGCCCTGACCAAATTTTAACAGTTATTTATTTTTAAATAACTTATCATTTTATCAACGATTTTATAAAACATTAAATATAAACTATTCAAATTATGATTTGATGATATAAGAAATGAAGAGAAAGTGGAGAGAATCCAAATCCTATTAAAAAGCATGCTTGGAGAGAAGGATCTATTGATCATGAAAAATATTTGTAATTGTTCATTGAAATTATCTACTACACCTGTCATGTTACTCTCTAATCTCCTACTACAAGGTATTTTAGCCACTTTATGTAAATTAAGTAGTAGTTAAGTCATTAATTTTATATAAAAAAAAGAATAAACTTTCAATTTTACACTTATTTAAATAAAAAATTTAAATTTCTCTTATATTAACTTTCATTGTTAAAGGATTTATATAAAAATATTATTAAAAAAATAAGTAATACTTTATTCAGATCTTAAATTAAAAATTATTAATTTTTTTTTAGAATATGTCTTAGAGGGAGTGTATTTTAGATTTTTTCACATTGCTGTCAGGTTCTAACTGTCATTTTCAAACAACCTGGCGCTTTGAGCTTATCGACTATTAACTTTTGTCAAATTTACTTTGTTTTTTTATTAATTGATGTCTTTTCCTGTGTCATTTTCAAGAGGGGGCTAATTGTTAAGAAATTAGGAAAATTTCATTTGAGACCCTTAATCATATTTAATAAAAAAAATAAAGCTCTTTAAATTTTGAAAATTCACTTTAAATCAAAGGTTAAGTAAAATTAAAATGTAGAATGAAATTATCTCATTATCCCTCAACATTTCTCTAATTCTTTATTAAAGTTATTCATCTCCTTACATGATATGATGTTGTTCATTGGTCTATAAGAATTGTTTGTGCCATTATTAAATCTTAATTTTAGTTTAAATATTATAATCATGATAAAATGACTTGATCATTGACATAAAGTTGATCATTAACTCACAAATGTTATTTGTGCCATTACTTAATTTTGATTTTATTTCAAGTGCTTTAATCATAATAAAATAAGTTGTTCATTGACTTACATCAAGTTATTTATTGACTTACAAAAATTGTTTGTGTCATTACTAAATAACTTTATATAGAAAAATGAATAAATTTTTATAAGTTAATGAACAACTTGATGTAAAAAAATGAAAAACTTCAACAGAGAATTAGAGAGGATGGGAGACAATAAGATAATTTTACTTTATATTTTAATTTTACTTTAGTATCCTTGGTCTAAAGAGAATTTCTAAAATTTAAGGGGCTTCTTTTTTATTAATAACTGTGGTCAAAAAATTTTAAATGAACTTTATAAAAAAAATATTTAAATGAATTTTTTCCTAAAACATTCCCGATCTGAATCCGCCTCTCTAATCAAAGTGTCTCGAAAAAAATATGATGAAAAGTATGGGCTACAATCAACATCAACCGAAAATTTTAAGAGAAACTTGGAACTAAGGACCTATCAATAAATATGTTTAGAAAAAAATTTATTGGACAGTTAATTTGACATGTGCAGTGGATAATTTCAATGAACAATTGAATATTTTTAATCTGCGGTTTAATAGTATTGTTACAAAATTGGGTGTCAGAACATGTAATAATAGTAATTTGGTGACATCACTGCATCCTCTTCAATTCTTAATTGTAAAATTCCTGTAAACGTTATCAATTTAGGATTACATGATTGATAATCTCATACACCAAAGCGGTTGAGAGTTTACTTAGTAACCTTAGCGTACGGAACAGCTATAATTTAAAAAGGTTTATCATACTCTCAATATCTTAATAGAAATTAATATCTACTATTAGCAAAGGATATTCCATGCATCTCACTAAAAAACTTGTGTAGATTTTGAAAGGTGGGATGAACAGTGAAAATATGTGATAATTGTTATTTAGTTTTTCATTCCATTAATTTTTTTCAATTAAACAATGCAAACATTTTACAAATCGAATACTCTGGAATCTGAAATTTTCAGGCTTCATGAATACTATTCTGCTATATACAGTTGCCTTTGGTGGTGGTGTTGAACTGTTGATGATTCATCTTCACCATCTGGAACCAATTTGGGAGATAATTTTTTGAGGCCGTTTGATATATATATATATATATATATATATATATTTATAAATTTGAAATAATCTTAGTGAGGAATCTGCTTCTTGGGAAACAATCTGATGGGCAAGCCATTGTGGGGGAGTGCAAATGGCCCATATTGAATCCCATTTTGTGCTCCCTCCAGGGACCACCTGCACAAAATATATATACATATATATATACCCACACTTAATCACTCAGATATTTAAACACATGCACAAATATAAAAGAAAGATTGAATTTATATTATTGTAAAAATTAAAGTATTGAAAATTGAACTAATCATTAAACCAATTAAGACACTGGTTTGATAATCGATAATTAAAATTATAGTTAAATCAATCATAAATAAAATATTTTATTAAGTCAATTAAAACACTGATTTTATCAGTTTAATTACCAGTTTAACCAATTGGGTTAACCAAATTGGTTAACCCAAATTTTCATTATATGATAAAAATGAGCATTGATTGTGACAATAAGGGAAAGTTGAGGAACCTGTAATTGGTGACTAGGTGGTGGAGAAGCACCAAGATCTCCAACTTAGCAAGTTCATTCCCAGGACATGCATGGGTCCCATTCCCAAATGGCACATAAGTATTGGGCTTTGGAGAAACCTATTGTACCAAAAAAGAGTGGAATCGAGATTCTAGTAAAAGTATATGCAGTTGCAACAAAAATAAAAGCCATATCGTTGTTAATTACTTCAAATCTAGAAGGATCAAACTTGTCTGGCTCATTGAAGTTGTCTGCACTGTGGTGTATGTTTCTGAAGAGGGGCAAAACTTTCCACCCTCTTGGGATCAAGAATCCTGACCAAATCAATTTCATATACATTCAATTTTTATCTGAAAGGAAATTGAAGTAATCACCTAAAACAAAAAAGAAGAGAGCAAATGGACAAGCATGATGGAAGAGCATCACCTCTTAATTCAAAAGTTCAAATCCCGGAGTTGATGCATTCTTTTTTTTTTTTAAATGTTTCTTTATTATATTTTTTAATTTTATTTATAAATTATTTTTAACATATTATATCAAAGTTTAAAAAAATTTTAAAATTCATTAACTTTGTTTATAAAATTTACAAAGTTTTCAATGTTATTTCTATTTTATATATACATTTTAATATCATATTTTCTTTCTCCTACATCTCATGGAAAGTAAAATGAATAATTTATTTATGATAAAAATTTAATAACGTAACTTATAAATAAAACACAAAAAAATTTCTTCCACCCTATAAATAAGACAAGATGGAGTATATTAATCATTAAACTTACCTTTATCTAATGAGATTTTTTATATTGATTCAAGAACATTTGTAACCCCTGAAGAATGGGGCACGATGTTATTGCAGCATTAGGCCACTGGCTATACATTCAAATTTTTATATTGGTTTTTAGTTGAGAGAACATAGAAAATATACTATGTTAGGCTTTCAAATAATACTAACCTTGGTATTGAACATCTTGGACAGCTTCTCTGAAAGTAAAGGACAAAATGGTGGCAATTCTAAGAGTCTCCTGAATGACCCTTGAAGTTAAGGCCATGTTCTTGACATCTTCCCAATTCAGAGCCTTCCCTTCTCCACTTTCTTCCTTCTTCTTCATGATCCTCCCTTGCTCCTCCTGCAGTACAATCTCGGACTCATTATTCAGCTGATTTCAAATATTATATTTTAATTTATTGACTTGATTGTAATAAAAGCTTCATGTAATACCACAAATAAATCGACTAAGATAAAACAATTATGGATTAATTTTCTAATTTTAATAAAAAAGAGTGATTATATATATAATAATTAATTATGATTAACTTTTTTGCCCGTTTAGATTTTGACTTTTGATTGTTTAGCCAAATTTTAATCAATTAATTTTGCTGTCTTGCGTTGCATGGGATAAATGAAGTTCCCAATCTATGTTAGCTTTGATATATATATATATATATATATACACATATATTCACTAAGATCCTCACAACAGATTTTTAAAGATTCTTTAATAATAATAATAATAATAATAATAATAATAATAATAATAAATACTTTTTAAAATTTAAAAA